CTACTACTACTACTACTACTACTACTACTACTACTACTACTACTACTACTACTACTACTACTACTACTTGTACTTGTACTCGTACAAACCTTCTGAATGAGGCACCAGCTGAACAAACAGCATTCTTATATAATGGGGGGTCATTCCCACACAGATAAACTAATAGTATGTTAGCTAGCTGGAATGTCTTCAGCAGTGGTATTAAAGACAAGGTAGGCTTGCTGGTGGTGAGGGAAGAAGAAGTAGCTAGTACTAGCAGTACTACTACTACTACTACTACTAGTAGTACTACTACTAGGTAGTACTAGTAGTAGCTAGTACAAAGTATTTGGTGCTCTTCTGTCTCTTTTTAGGAATTTGGAATCCTGATTTAGCGCATATGTGGTCAAAAGATTCCATCCGCTAATCATGCCTGGAGACTGAATTTGTTTAGTGAAGGATTCCAATGGATATGTATCTCAAATACACATATCTTGGGGGTACAACCAGAATCTGTGTATTTGAGATACTACAGAAAACGAGCCGGCCGGTCAAAAAAGATTAATGTATGCGGGGAATGACCATTCATGAGATCTTTTTCGGGATTGAGTCGTGATTTCATCGAATTTCATGTACAAAACTCATTTCATAACTACCGATAAAGAACGAATACGTTCTGTATTCCGCGTTAGTGTCGTCGAAGGTTAAAGAGCTCAAAAGGCACCACTTGCTGCTTCGTCCATACAACTTGGTCGCAACATTAAGCAGAACTCGTCCGGTGCAAATTGTGTTTCAATTTGACAAGAGCCTATTCGCTTTCGCCATATGATATCGCTATGCGAAGTAATGATTTACACGAAAATAATTCGGCGGAAGACGCGAATAGTACGATCGAAGTGGACATGCCAGAAGGAACTTCCAGGCTTTCCGTCCTTGACGGTCTTTCTCTAAGCTCTATCTTTGACCACCAGGAGCAATCTTTCATATTATCTCCGGATGTTCTAAATGGGATGGAAAACACACGAGCTAATTCAAATGTTGACTTCGAACAGAGAACGATCGTCTCCTCGCATCCATCGGAAGGGTCGATTGTGGGACCGGACCCTCAATTCGTCGTCGACAAGACTCAGTCAATATTAACGGCAAATACCGAAATCTTCGAGCTTGATGCAGTGGACCAAATGGAAAATGGGGGCGAAACAATTTTCCCCTCTACCTCATCCAATGGGTTGAGTCATGAATCTATTAAATCTTTATCAAAAGGCAACCAATCAGGTCTAGCATTATTTGAAGATGGTATTTTTGAAAGGATAGGTGCTGCTTTGTCTTCCGATGCTAAAGATTGCGTCATCCGGCTCCTTTCCGAACCCAATGCAAGGGAGAGTTCATTACCCTCCATACCGCTGGAAGTTTCATCGCCAGGAATTTCGGCATCGTCAATCAATTTTCAGAATTCTGGATATCGTGCCGAAGTCGACCTACCGCCTCATTTGATTTGTGGAGTTTGTAATGATGTGGTAGTCGGTGCTTGCATTCTCGACTGTAACTGCAAATCATCTGTTGTGTGCACGCCGTGTTGGGAAAATAGAGGGCGAAACCAGGACGACTCGAAATCGAACAGGTGCCCATCATGCCAATCAAATGCTGAGTTGAAAGCATATTGCCACGCCCTTGATGCTGCAATTCTTCATATAATTGAAAGTCTCCCAGCAGATTCAGAGGACACTATAACGTTGAAACAAGGATATTACGCCCGGTTGTCTGATTGGCGACCCGCTGTTAGTGATCGTAACGACAGGCAAACACGAATGGTTCATGTTGAGAATGAGCTGAGTACAAGACGCTCGCGAGAGGAAAATGCCGACAGAAAGCACCCGCCAAAAAAGAAAGCTACTGCATTCATGCGATTTAGTAGGGCGAGTTTGAAAGTGATTGCTACGGTTTTCGCACCTTTGATTGCTGCAGCAGCTGCGCTTGTGGCTTTAAAAATAAAAAGGAAAATGATACGTTAATGCGTGTTTATATTGGATTCAAAGACTCCTCTAATGCATCATCAATGTTCCTGGAGATCGAGGAGAACTCAGATGAGTATTTTGAAAAGAATGAATACGATAATTGATCTAGCACTATTTTATCATATTAACTGAGTTCTAGGTCGTTGGAGAAACCGCCATCTTCGGGGATGTTATACTTTTGTGTTGGTTCGCCGGTGCATCCGCATACAGCGCGACAGGGGTAACAGATACATCGCAGAATGCCGCACCAGCAGGCAACAGTAATCCTGCAAATACTGCGGTGTCGAAAAGAAAGAGGGAAGATAAAGTTGAAGAAACCAATTGATTAGGCCACTAGTCACAAAACAAAATATTCAATCAACCAACTTTACTTGGTTACGAAATACATACCTTGCGCAAATACCGTTTGGATTGTTTAACGTTTGATAAGCAACAAATACTGCGAAGAAAAACATGACTGCGAAAGTGCTTGAAAGAGCAATGATGACATTTTTGTCGTGTTCCATTTCTTCGATGGTGGAATCATTCGTGAACCATTCTCCAAAAAGGTCATCAGACGCAGTTGGTAAAGGGTCGTCTCCCTTCGAAACATATGGAAGACGACTCGGTGCTGTGGCAGGACGAAGTGATGGTTGTTTGTATTCATCGCTGTACGTGGGTGGCTTGTTTTTGTCTGTCGGTGCTGCAACAGGAGACGCAACGGGTGCTCTGGAGGACCTTGCTCCGGTAGGCTTTTTGGAAGGTTTTGGAACAGGGCTTTGGCCAAATCCCATGCCAGAAGCTTCTGCAGGCTCATCCTGATCATTGGCTTTAGGAGCTGAAGTTTCATCCTCTTCCTTTTCAATACCTCCAAATCCCTTTTCATCTCCTTTCGAACCTGACTTAGGGCTTTGGGTACCTTCATTTTCACTAGGAGATCGAGTACTTTCCTCCTTATTTGGACTTTGAGTATCATTTCCTTCCGAGATCATCGGTGGCAAGATCGGTGAAAAATCATCGGGCATAGGAACGGGGGTTTCTTCCCCTTCTTTGGGATCCTCGGTTCCGATACCGTCGAAACCCCCAGCAAATCCACCTGAGCCTTCTTTGGGACTTTCGGTTCCAATACCGTCGAAACCCCCTGCAAATCCACCTGAGCTTTCTTTGGGACTATCGATCCCTTTCTCGTCACTAGGACTTTTGGTGCCGTCCTGTAGATCCCCAAACAACGACTCGGGCGTTTGGTCATCGCCACTGTTTTTAGTTGGTGACTCCGTCGCCGGCTCCAAATCATCCGGTTTCGGTGCCGATGTCGAGTCTTCCTGCAGCGACCGGTTATCAACCGTTGCGCCAGCTACCACTGCAACGGATGCAACGCAGAATAAAAACTTAACTAAAAGTCTCATTGTGATTATTGTTGGAAAGATCCTATGACAGGTTTTTTTGGGAGAAAAACGCAGCTAGAAGGTGAATTTAATGTGTCGATTTGAATGTGAGCGAGCAGCATGCGGCATGTTCTTGATTGTTTTCACGCTGCATTTTAAAGGAATTTTTTGAATTTGCGTTGACCGAGAATTTCGTAAGAATTCGTACCAGATACTGTATTTTTAAAAAGTGAAGATAATGACTGTAAGGTCATATTTAAAGGTACCAAGTCAGTCCCGGGTGGCTGTTCGAAATGCCCAAAAAGGCAAAAAGGGGATTTTGGATTTTGTTTCATATTAAACGTTTTTTTAGAGTTAGGGATAATACTAAAATTCAATAGGAATCAAGCAATCTGATTGGCTTATTAGACAGATCAAAATCATGGAAACTGTACAGTCTACTACTCCCTTGATATCCAAATTTCTCATGGAAGCCTATGAGGAATTTGTACTAGGAATGAGTATTTGCTTGTTTTTTGCTGCTGGTTTGCTCATGTTTAAATTGCCACCATTTCCTTATTAAAGTACTACTAGCTAGTACTACTACTAGTAGTAGTACTAGTAGTATCCTCCTCTTTTTGTGTCTGTTGACGTCACTGTTGATGGCACCAAGTGCCTCTGTTACTGATGGAAGGTCCATGCTAGAATGATGGTAGTTGTTACTGTGGAAGATGCAACAGACAGCAACACTACTAGTAGTATCCTTCCACGATAGGCGACAGCAGCACTTCTTGCTGTTCATAAAGGAGCAACAAGAACATCTGTACTTGCCATATCAGCCAATGGTGAAGCAATACTAGCAATCCCTTAGAATTCCAGAATGAATGAATTATCAGCTCTTTTTGCTAGTAATCTAACCATGGGGGAAAAAGTATCTACTGAAACTATTGTTGCTGCTAGTGCTGCTTCTGCTGCTACGACTGCAGAACAGGGTCTTGTCGGAATGACTCCTCCCCCTGAGTCCCCTCCTCAGGATGTTGACAATAACAATGAGAGAAGTGTTGCTATAGACCTACTAGGCCTAAAGGTAAGACAATCAAATGGCAACAATAAGAATGATGAAAATAAAGTACTACTACTAGTAAGAACTTTCAAGATGCTCCTCCTCCTCCAGGAACCACCACTGCTACTGCTTCTGCTGCAGCTGAATAAGAGATAGAACAAGGAGGAGAGCTTTACAAKGATGATGATGACAATGATAATGATGTTGATGAACAGTCTTCTAAACATACTACTGATACAGAGGAGTACAGTGATGAAGGGAAGGAAGGAGGGACATTGTTGCTAGTGGAGACAGTGTACGAAAATGATGAGCAGGAGCAAGAGGAAGAGCAGAAGGAGGAAGAGGATGATTAGAAGGAGGAAGAGGAAGAGTAGGGGATATCTGTGGCCCCACAGAGAGTATCCAGCTGGATCAAGGTAAGGCAGCAGCTGCAGCTCAAAGAAACAAGCAAGTTTCTTTGTTGAGAGAAAGAGCTCCTTGAAAAAAAACTATGATTAAAAAAGTAACAGAGGCTGGAACCAAAATAAGAAGTCTATTCAAGGCAACAGGGAAGCTTGAAAACCTTGAAGGTCTTTCTCCTCGTGTCCTTGATAAAAAAGGAAGTAAAAAACCTATATACTGCGGGGGAAGAGGAATGTGTGTTCCTTGCCCACAAGAAAGAGGAGTGAAGAAGCAAACAACAAAGTGCAGGAGGAACCAAAGGCCCAGGAGAAAAGAAAGGCACAGGAGGAACCAAAGGCGCAGGAGGAGGAAACAGCAGAAGCAACTCCAACCAAGAGGAACAACAAGAGCAAAAGAACAAAGTAGATACAAGGCCAAGAAGCTTGAGAAGGGAATCCTTGAGTGCCACTGCTGCTGGGGATGCCATTTGTCCAAGTGTTGGGGGCTTGGGAATGATACTGCATGGGATAGGAGCAGGTGTGCGCACATCAGCAGCAGATGGTGCTGGTGTAGAATCTCTATGGTTATTCACCTTGTATCAGTTAGCATACAGTTTGAAGAAAATAGTGGGGGCAGGTGCTTTCTCTGCTGACGCTGATGCTGTTGCTGGTACAGGAGGGAAAGAAACTTTTTCACCCAATGTAATTCTTCTAAGCACTGTTTTTGCTACAGCGAGAGCATTATCAGCCATTATCTGCCAAGAGGATCATCCCTCCTGACGCCTAATGCTTCTCCTCCACCAGCACTCTGTGAGAATGTGTGTCATTACTATTTGTTGCTGTCTTGATAGTGTTCTATCAAGACAGAAGAAGGGAATGTTTTCAGCAACAAATAATTCCCTATGTACAATAGAAGACTCCTAAGTGTTCTCCAAATGGTGGACATACTCAGGCCAAGCACCATAGTTGTGTTTCTCTTTGTGTTTTGCTCTTCCAGTGGGTAAAGAGTCTAAGGAGGGTCTTGTTTACAACAATTGTAGTATTTTTATGATTTTGCCATGGTTTTTGACATGATTTACCTCCTGCTGTTGTCGCATTTTTGTGTACAAATTAGCTACATTTCCATATGATCAAAGGGTTGTATTGGATGAAGATTTTCTTGTTGTTTTTGCAGAGGAGTTGCATTGATATTGAGTATTGGCTGTGGTATTAGGAGCAGTATTAGCAGCAGTAACAACATCAACCACATTAGAATTGAGCTCAGTTGAAAACAAAAATTGTCTGCAACCTAAAAAAAGTAATCCAATTTTGTATTCTTATCAAAATTTTGTGTCGGGGTTGCATTCTGATTCAGCTTGACTAGTACTAACAATATCGTGCACAAAAGGGGGCTGCCATAGGGAGATCCAGAATACAAATTTGGGATTACAGAAATCATGTACAACAGGTATGTACTCCATCAAGGAGCAAAAGATAGGACAAAAAATAACTAGTGTTTCTCAGTGTGCAATTTCAGTATTCTTTTTGTTATCCAGTGCGCGTGAATACAAGCGAAAATTGAGCTACTTGACGATTGCAGTATTTAGTAATTTGATCCTCTAATTCCTTTGCAAATCGGTGTGAGTGAATGCATGAATGCTCATTTTTGACTTTTTGGTTACAATTTCCTTTTGATAGCGAAACAAAAAAAGACAAAATTTGGTGGTTGAATCATCTATTCTTCATGACTCGTCCTATATTTTTAGAATTGCACTTAGATTGTGATATTTTGCAGACTTCTGTGTGGTTGCAGTGCAATAGTCGCGTCAAAAATGATTCTTCGCACCAAATGTTGATCGCTAGTTCAAACACTTCCAGTCAGCAAGATGATGTCAAATATTAAGCACACAAAAACTAGAGTGACAAAGAACTGGAAGGCACACATGTTTTTTTTTCCTATCGCGGTGCCCGTCCATGGACACCTTTTAGGTCAACGACGTATGAAATATTAGTGACAGCAAGAAACAAAGGTATAGACTTCCACAACACCAACATCGTTGCGCTAGAACAAGCAACGAATTTCAAGAAAACAGAAGAAGTACTCACGTGTGGTCAAACCCTTCTACAATTACTGCTGTGTCTGTGTAAGAAAAATTGACAAGAAAAAGCTTTCAGAAACCAATGTACTTGCGCCAAAAACTCAAAATGAGCCCCATCTCAAAAAGCAACAGACGATCACCTCATAGAGAATAATTACCTTGGTCATACCAAGACCCTCTCGGTCGATAGCTGAGGGCGCGATCGTTCCATCTCCAACCCATCTCTTCTTGGTTTGCAGGAGGATTTCTATGGCGGGGCAGGATCCCAGGGTCGCGAAAGGATGTCATGGCGAGCGCAAAGATGAGTCCACCCGTACAAATAGCCCAGGCAATACCGACCAGGACATTCACCTTCGGAATGACAGTCACTAGCGTAACACCCGAGACTCCCAAAATCAATGGATACGTTATCATACAAAGCATAGGCCAGTACTGACAATAAAGAGATGGACATATAAAGAAAAGCATGAGATTACAGTATCCTTTTTTCAAAGACATGAAAAATAATTTCGTTTTCAGAATCCGTCCAGAATCGTTCGGGTCGCTGTTGTTGCGTTCCATCATGCAGAGGTTTTTGACTCACGGGTCCGACGACAAAATCCAATCTAGGCCGGGTGGAACGTTCGATTTTGGTTCCTCCGTTTTCTAAGTCCGGAACTTCTTCGGTGACCCATTCGTTCGACTGTTTCAGGACTGCCATGTTTCCTACTCTACTGGCGCCTAGCATCGGACAGACTATAGCCGAGCAGCATCCACAAGGCACACTATTGCTGTTGTGTCCGTCCATCATCTTTGAGCATTCACCGTACCAACCGTTTTCTTTGAGTTCGATATACTCGGCTTCCCACGTACTGTGCACATTTCCACGAGCGAAATAAGACTCTTGCCAGGCCTTGGTTCGAATTTGTTGGCTTTCTGCACTGTACATCACATCCAGAGAAACAGATGATGCAACTGCTTTGTTTGATGATGTAAGGTTTGAAGGATGTGCATTCTGTGAAGGTTCTATCGATTCACGATCCATCACCTCATTGCCACCAGATGCTGGACCATCAAGTGCCTGAGAAAAGGGAACTATCTCCTCGTTCTGCACAGCTACGGTTTCCTTGGTGCTTCCTCCGCGACGTTGCGACATGGTAATAAATAAGAAGTTAGGGAAATATCTGCAAGGTGATGTAGTATCTTCTCCGATCTTTAACAGCAATTACCAAGCATGCAAGGAAGACAACGACAATGACTTGAGACTGCCTGTTGGTCAGTATCCATGTCGTTTCACAGAATCTTACTGGAATTTACTATCGTATGTTTGGAATGGAGTAGTAGTTCGTACTAGCGTACGGAGTATCGTTCAAAATGATTTGAAAAGAATAGTACGATAGTACGTACGTACGTACGTTCGAACCCCTTGCCTGGGTACGAGTGCGTCGTAGTCTTGTCTTCTACTGTAGAAATTAGGACTAAATAATACTACCTCCGTTCCAAAATACTGGTACACTTTGCACTACTCTAATTTTTCCATAATACTGGTACACTTTGCATAACCCTGTACAATTACTGTAGATCATATCTGCAAGCGTCGTATCATTCGTAAATATGGTACGTACGTATTATTTCCTTTGAGGAGGACTGAATCTGAATTCGCACGAAACTCGTGTACGGTACAAAGTAAAGTACCTAACGGTAGTACGTAGGACCAGGGGAGATAAATTTAGACCCCTGCGGACTGTAGGACGTACCGTACAACGACGGGCTTCTGTTTTTGTTGACGCCGCATGGTCAGCTTGTACGGTACGTATTCGTACTACGGCGAAAACGGTATCAGTTTTTTGACAGCTGAAATCATCAATTTAATTTTTACCATCTTCGCACGTTGAACACATTGTTTCAGAAGCGAAGTCTACATAATTATTTGTTACTTCTACTACTGAATTACTACTATTTGTTGACTCGATGGTTCTTATCGAATAGATCCCCTGAGTCAAGCTATTAATATGACAATAAAGGAGAACGATCCAATTTTAAAGGGAGAGACTGCTCTGATCGATATTGGGGAACCAAACGAAACGAGCGGGCCGGATGTACAAGCAGCAGTGACGGATGAAAACGACAACGCGAACGATAATGGGGATGGTCCAACATTTTCTAGTGACAGTCCAATCGATGCTGCACGGGAACTCAAGATAAAACACTGGGAAGATTCCGATTTTGCTGTTGGCTGTGTCAATGTTACGTGGGAAGATGATCATCCTTCGTGGTGGTGTTTGAACTCCAGGAAAAATGGCGAAGATTCCGCGCACGTCGTCGACGAGCAATATTTTGTTTCTTCTATTGTCTGTGGGTGTTTGGGAGCGGGCAGGGTTGGAAACATGGCTGTTTTAGCGCAAACCACTGAAACCGTCGAAGAACAATTCGTGGATCCTGAAAGCGGCGAAATGACGACCCGTCGCAAGAAACGACCAAAACTGCTATGGGTTTGTGGTCCATACTGGACAGTCAATTTGTTTATAACTTTCCCGCTCATTTTGGGAGTTTCTGGTTGGATGTGCTATTCGAGTGTCATTGAATCGGGCCTTGTTGTTATCATTACATGGTCGATAGGAACTTTTTTGATGATCTTTTCGCTCTGCATGATATCATGCCGGAATCCGGGAATATTGTATCGTCATTCGCAGATTCCAGCAAACACAGATGAAGACTGGAGGTGGAATGATCAAGCCAGAACTTATCGACCAGCGAGTTCGCGCTTTGATACAGAGTGTCAGGTAGTCGTGGAAGGCTTTGATCATACGTAAGTCGACTGTGTTCTAATCCATATATTCAGAGAAAACGAATGTACGAAACTCATCGTTGCTTTCATCTCTTGCACGTTTTCTCTGTTTCCCTATCAATTGCAACGCTTTGAAACTATAAACTCCAGTTGTCCTTGGACTGGTACGGCCATTGGATCGGCAAACATGTTTTGGTTTAGAATGTTTGTCGGCATGATAGTCGTTATGCTGATTTACACCCTAATGCTCGCAACGTTCGGTAGCTTTCTAAGAATGTTCTTCGGGTCAGATGTCTGACACAAACGGTGATAACGTTAAAAGATGATATTAAAGGATGATGCTTAAGCGCTGTTGTGGAAGCCGTTCTTGATACTTAGTAACGTTGGCGTGGTCATCGATAATTTCGCGTGTGTAAAGGCCGATTCAGATTGACAAACTCTTCCGTCACCCAACAATCCAGATTGATAGTCGAATGTAGCACGGATACCCTTGCTTAAGTTGGCACCTAAACGAGTTCATGCCTGTCATGGAATCAGTTTCTCCTTGAAAAGGTGCAAGTAGGTTCCAACTGAGAACATTTTATCCGTTGTTAACATGCCTCTTTGAAGTTTTGGAAACTTTGTCAAATGTTTCCAACCTTATTTTTCAGAATGTTTTCAGTATTTGAATAGATCCCACGGAGAATTATTGGGGGGAAAAGATTCCAAAGATGTGAAGTTCTAGAACAGATCGAAGCGGGAATATGGGTAGCAACCACTAATAGTAACAGAAGGCTGGAGAAGTACTACTACTAGTAGTTGCTATACACAAGTCTAGGCATATCTAGTAGTAGAAGTACCACTACTTACTGATACTACTACTATTAGTAGTATTATTCCTAGCAGTACAGAATTCCTATGTGGTGCTTATTAGCAAACTCACAGGATTTATGTGTTGACGCTCCTCTCAATAAGGATAATGCTAGCTGGTGGTATATATTCACTGCCTGTACAGCACCATCAGCAAGAAATACTAGTAGTACTAGTACTATTTGCATGTTCTCAAAAGAAATCAGGAGGATGAGAAGACTTCTTCTTAGTCATTTTCCTCCTTATTTTATCCTCCTAGTAGCACCAGTACTTGTCTAAACATAAAGAAACAAAGACCATATTACTTGGGCAACATTCTCTTTGTATGAACAGGAACTGCCCCCACCATTTCATCATGGGTCTGTAGTACTATGAACAAAGAGAATAATGCCCAGATTATATTAGCTAACTCCTCTGCTTAAACAAAGAGAAACAAGAAGAATGCAAACCATCACATGCCCAGGCAATATTCTCTGTGTTTATCCTTATTTAAACAACAGGAAACGACAAAGATAAAGAGGGAGAGGCAATACTATTCTCTTTGTTACAACAACAACAACAAGAAACAATGAGAATATTGCCCTTTCAACAAGGAGAAAAATTCTCTTTGTTTCTCCTTGTTTTGCAGGGTATACAGGAAACGATTTATTCTAAAAAATTACTACTATGTGTAAAATAACAATTGAAATTATGTTAATTGTTGAGGTATTGGGAATGTTAATTTAACATTCTGAATGTTAGCAGCATAGGCTGTGCAGAAATGAGTACTGCAGTTTTGCTTCAATTTAATGTCCTCGTTGAAGTTACTCCAATGCTCTTTGCATACAGCAAAATTGCAACTTCTACAACCATTCCTTGACATTTTCATACTACTAATCCACGGAAACTTCCTCAATCTCCTCACTGATGAGTTAGGATACCTATGCTTTGCTTCTTCTACACAGACAGCACAATAGTTCGTCTTCACTCCTTCATACTTGTCACTGGTGCATATTTCTTCCTGTGGCTTTGAAGTTACCCTTCCATGAGCAAAGGTGGTGGTTCTGGTAATTTTGTTCACACAGAACAAGAAACAAATCCCACAATCACAAGGGTGGTATTTTCCATTCTTTGAAGTCTTTGGCATCCACTCTGCCTCAGAACCTTCATCATATGGAGCTTTCCAGTCTGGTTGGGATCATTTGCTATCAGTTGAAGGATTTTTTCATCAAACAAGAACAAGAACAAATGCACCAACCCTTCCACCTCATTAATAGTGCAGCCATTCAATGTATTCCTTACAGCATAGTAGGTGGGACCTGGGGTTGCACCTCCTCCAAGTGATGGATACTGGGTAGATGGGGGAGGAGACCACTCCTCTGCATCATCACCCAACAACTTCTTGCCATTCCATGTCACCATGACACTAATGCAAGCTTTATTCACAGTATTTGACTGTTACCAGTCACAACATCCTCAAATGAAACCCACCAAACAACTCTTCATTGTTGGAGATAATCATGAATCATACTTCCAGCAGAACTACTACTATGATGTGACGTACTAGTACTAGTTCTAGTACTCCTATACAGAGCTGATCTCCTCTCCCCTTGGGTGGACTTGTGATCCTGACACAAGGAGATTGATGATGCTGAGTGACATTGCTGTTGCATTCTTCTTCATGCTGGTCATTGTTGTGTGCTTTTTCATCTTCTAGTACTAGTAAAGACATGATGTGTGTACCAGCAGGAAGAATTTTAGTGGGACTCATGAGAACTGAGGAGTCCTGGAAAAGATGTTCCAATTCATCCTGCTCCAGATCAGATGAATCAGAGTAGTCACAGTCAAGGAGGAGTTCTTCAATTTTGTTGTCAAAGGGAGCATTATTGTAGTAGTACTACTAGTAGTAGTAGTAAGGGGCATCGCCAGAAAGACTTGTTCCAAGAGAACTGTTACTAGTAGTAGTATCACCACTGAAAACACTGCTGTCATCTTGGGAGCGGCTCCTACTGTGAGGGTGCATGCCACCACCACTGTTGTCAGATAGGTCTGCATCACTAGTAGTATGACCATAGTAGTACTATGAACAAAAATTGCCAAGAACCACCATCACCAGAAAAAGAATCATCATCATCATCGACGATTGTGGTGGTGATATGATTATTTTATGTAGGTAAATATGATGGTTTGGGTGATAGTTTATATTCTGGTTTGAGTGTTTTAAATTTTCTTGCTTAGATATTACGAGGAGAGAAATGAATGCGCAGAAAAGGTGTTTTATACAAAGTAATTGTTTAAAACTTTTTTTGTTATTTCAGTCTTATTTTGTGTAGGATTTGTACTGCAGTCTACTACACAGGTGAAAATCATGGAAACTCCAAAAAAATTCCAATCCAAAAATACACGATTTGAGGCGGAGACGGGAAAAAGTTAAGAGGAACTGAGCTCTACTGAAGAAAAATCCAACTGTTTCGGCGAAAATTGTAACGGTTGACCAAGACTTCTTCTACTACAGCACCTCTCCCAAGACACTTATTTGAATCTCCAGAAGCATACTTTTCAGATAGAGATACTCTGACTCTCGAAAGGTTAAACACACAAACCAATCATTCTGGTCATCTCGTAGCAACAGCAAACGCAGTTTTCTATTTCCTGCTTCGAATTGAGACATCGAAGTCCCAGCCACGCCCAGAGGCTTTTTGATCGAGACGAGATATTTCGTTCCCGAAGTCTTCCATTTCCATTCACACTTTTGGTGAAATAAAAACACACGGTCGCTAACAACGAAAGCCAAGATGAAGCGATATACCACAGTGAGCGACAGCAGCGACACCTCGTCACGGATGAAAGACAGCGACAGTGTCTCTCTGGCAAGCAGTCATCGGAGATTTACCGCAAAAAAGCGAATCAACTCGGAGCTATCGGAACCCCTTACCGGTGCTAGCGACGTATCCTTCGGAGGGGCTTCGTCTGATCCTTATTTTGTATTTCGAAGCGATCTACAGAATAAGCTCGAGGCGGTGGACGAATTTTTGGCAGATTTTCTCAGGATAGTCCACGAAACCGTATGTTATACTGCTGTTCATGAGACACGTATTCATTTGAAAACAAATCGCGCACATATTCACTTTTGACTCACTCTGCACTTCTTCGCTTTTATTTTGATAGAATACTGCTATTAGCTCCCAAGAATACAAAGACTCGAAGAAACAGTTAAAACGCCACCTGAAAAGTGCGGAGTCGACCCTCAGGGACGTACAGGCAACGGTACAAGCCGTGGAGAACGATCGGGGTAAGTTTCCTCACATTGATGATTCACACTTGTTTGATCGAAGGTCATTGGTGGAAACAAGTCGGAGCAGAATTCAGCATGCAAAGGATGAAATGAGCTCCGATGTGGTGAAGAGAAAAGTACTCGGAGACGAACGACAGAAGGCAATCAAAGCATCTGGCGACGGATTGCTGGGAGCCAGAACTGATATAGAACGGCAAAATACAAACTTTGTGATGGACAACCAAGCACAAAGCTCAATGCTGATCCAAGAACAGGACGAAACCTTGGACGAGCTTGGTGAGGCAGTCACTAGGGTCGGTGAATTAGCAGAGCACATTGGTGAAGAGATCGGTCACCAAAATAGAATGCTTGACGATTTAGATCAGGACATGACGAACGCCGAAGAAGAATTGGGTTTGGTTATGGGAAAGATGGCCAAATTCATGGGGACAAAAGATAGATGGCAATTGCGGACAATTCTTATTCTTACCTTGATCATGATAGTGCTGCTCTTCCTTGTAATTTATTCATGAAAGAGGAATTTTGTCGAAATAAAACTGGAATAATCACAGCATGCAATAATATTGTACCTTATTTTCAGTATCATCGTTCTTTAAACTCTATGATTTACTGCGAATCAATCATTGCAAACACTGATCTAACACAGTAATAACGGTAAATTTAGATACATTGTCTCCTCTGTAATGCCTTCCCAATGGTTAAAAAACGTTGGCATGAAGAGCTTAGATGCAAATTCAACACCATGAGACGGAACGAGTTCAGTTGCCAAACGTGGAACTGTCAAGATACAGGTTTTGAAAGTTTCTTTCTCAAACACACCATCCGTTTGTTGTATCAGCGTCGTAAGCGCCTAACTTTCATATGCTTCAGCACAGCATTATTCGACATGCTCAGAATAGTATATTTTCACACTCATAGTGAGCAATTGTTGATGGGAGAGTCGATATGGGCATGGCTTTTACTAATAGTGACAGTCAGTCACTGTCGACTGACGTTCACGTTATTGAGTACATGATTAATCGACAAAACGTAAAGTTGTAGAGGTGTGCACGGTATTCCTGGCAGGCGTTTTTTGCTTTCTAGGCTCCCATTCGCAATGATGTCAAGTTTTTACTTGTTCTATAGTAGCTGTTGTTATCGACTAACTTTCATATGCTTCAGCATAGCATTGCACCAGTTTACAGTTTCGTTGCCTCGGTCCAGGTACCGGTCCTGAGGGTAATCTCTGAGAAGAATAGCCCATCACTTATTTGGGCAACGTTGAGGCGCGGAGGGTCTTTCTCTGCACAGTAAAGACAGTCTTGCAATTTGGGCACTTGACGCTACCTTCGTCACCAAATCCTTCCACCCCGAGGATGTCCCCAAAGTATATACGGTTCTCGTACTCACAGGACGGACAAGGTCCGTACGCAATTAATTTGTCCGTGAAAATGAGTTCCTCTGTGATTTTCTTCGATCCATCGACAATGAGAGGAAGTCCAAGCGCGAACAAAATAATGGGGTTCACTCGGATGAATGGCTCTATGAGTTCAAACGCAAGTCCCAACCATACAACAGACAGAGTCAAACCTGCAGGGAGGTATAGCAAATTGGAACGGAATTTATCCTCTTGGAGTGTCACCTTGCAAACACCGCTATCGATGTAGCACTTAGGTTCGGTGTCAACGGCAAATTTGGACCCACTCTCTTTGAGCTCCTCTTTCAATTTGTCGAACTCGGCATCATCCATGATGGGTTGCCCCTTCAGGTAGGCTTCCATAGCCGCGAGGTAAGCCGTCTCCTGCCTGTTAACAACTACGACATCTGACCCATTCCATTGGAGATCTTCCTTCAACAAGTCAAAGTCTTCGTCTGAGAGGAGCTGTCTCCCAGTGGCATAGTACGACTGTTGGTACAATGGAAACGACACGAGTTTCGATCTGTCAGATGAAATTTGATTTTTCCAACATTGAATTAAAACACTACGATAAAAAAGTCCAATCGACAGATAGGCGTACTTTACGACAAAAGTTCATTCACAGTGCACATACCTGCAATGCGTCGAGGAAAATACGTTCTTTCTCGGCAACAGTGAGACGAATTTTGCTGCCAGTATCTTCGTCAATGGTGCAAAATTCCTCCTCGGGAATGCATTCTTCGAGGTCAATATCAGTTTCAAAGAATCGTCCCGTTTTGTCATCGAATTTAAGTTCTTTTCGTGCACTCGTAACCTGCGCTCCGTCAAGGTCTTCTTCGGCCATTCTAACGGCGGTGAACGATCCCCGCGATCCCGTCGGAAGAATAGCCGGGGTGAAAGCCGGCGTGAAAGCTGCTACATTACTGATTAATGCGGAAGCTACAATAGCAAACAAAGGCGAACTCAATTTGATTATGGCCATGGTTTCGACGCTCGAAATTTGAATAAATTTAAAATTGAAATTGTGCTGTGATGGGAAACCGTGTGTGACACGCAGAAGGCAAGAAAACGGCAAGATTGTTTCTGAATCCTTGCGAAGCAAGCTAATCACACCGTTAGCTGGATGCAAATACACGTACCCCCCATGAAAAACGATCTGGAATTCAAACACGCATTTGCTGCCGCTTCGTGTTGAGCATTTTAAGATGCAGTAGAACAGACAGATTTTCGAATTCAATTTCCGAGACAGCCAGTCACGAAGACTTGTGATTGGACTGTTTTGTAACGTTCACACGCGTTCTGCGTGTGGAAATCGATTAATGACGTCATACACTTCTGGTTTTTCAGAGAAACGGAAAAAGATTGTGCCGCGATAACGTACGAGGTTGTGTACAGTTGAGTACGAACTGCGCCCCACAAAAATTTACGTTCTGTAATGGCGAGTTATGAATAAAATAGTTTACCACGACACCCATCGGAAGATTCCGTTACTACTTGTTCTTACCACCACGACTAAACTCAGGATACGGCAAGGAGCCAGGAACCATGTCGATTTCAATTTTTTGGAAAAAAATAGATTCTCAGGTCCCCCTCTTTGTACCGAAAATTGTGATCAGTCTTGATCACAAAAAAATGTGATCAGAATTAACAAATTTATGATCAGTTTTTTGTGATCAATCTTGATCACTAATTTGAACTAATTTGTGTACATTTTGAAATAGTCCCGTTTTTATATAAGATTTTAATATCCTCATATAAATAATAACAGTAATTTTTCACGTTTGTAGTACTACTAGTACTACTACTACTACTAATAGTACTACCACACCACCACCAGCACCAGTCCTGTATAGTAATAGTATGCCTTATTAAGAATTAACGTGACGTGCTACTAATATGACCATAAATGGCATTATATATTCTAATATATTAATATGATATAAATTGAATTGAAATATTAATGTACTAAGAATAAAGTACATATTAATTCTAAGAATCTGTTGGGAAAAAATATGATCAAAACTGATCACAAAAAAATGTGATCAAGAAATTCATCAATTTTGTGATCATTTCTGATCACATTTTTTTGTGATCAAAACCGATCACATAATGAAAAAAGGGGACCAGAGAATTTAAATTTTTCCAAAAACATCGAAATCGACATGGTTCCAGAACAAGTCAAAAGGCTTCTTTTTGATCATACTGAAGATGATGCTTTTACGATGGTAGAAGTAGAAGTAGTAGTAGTAGTAGTAGTAGTTGTAGTAGTAGCAGCAGTAGCAGTACTGTACTGTACTAGTACTAAAACTAATTTCTTGATACCAATACTACTAGAAATACTGGTGCTACTGCTACTGCTACTGCTACTGCTACTGCTACTGCTACTGCTACTGCTACTGCTACTGCTACTGCTACTGCTACTGCTACTGCTCCTGCT